CGCCGCCGACGTGGAAGATCCTCGTGATGGACCAGGCGAGCACAGACATCCTCGCGACGAGTCTGCGCGTGCAGGATCTGCGGGAGAACGGGGTCACGCTCCATCTGTGCGTGGCTGCGCACCCCCGCTAACGCCAGCCAACTCCATTCCGATCGCCCTGCCCTGCCGGACGTGCCCGCGGTGTACTTTGTATCCCCGACGAGCGAGAACCTGGCGCGCGTCGCAAGGGTATGCATGCGGTGCTACTCCACTCACGCCAGGACCTCGCCGCAGGCCTGTACGAAGGGACGTACCTGAATTTCACCTCCGCGGTGCCCCGCGCGCTCCTCGACGAGTTCGCGCAGAACGTGGCGCGGAGCGGCAGTGGCGCATTGGTCCACCAGGTGTGCGACCAGTACCTCGATTACATCGTGCTGCAGCCGAACCTGTTCCAGCTCCTCCCCCAGCCGCAGGCAGCGCCCGCGGCGGGCAACGCGCCAAAAGGCGGCACGCCGCAGAGCACCTACGAGATCCTGCACCAGCCCGGCATGGCGCAGGAGCAGGTCGAGGCAGTGACCGACCGCATCGCGACCGCGCTCCTCTCCGCGTTGGCTACGATGGGTGCGTGTTGCGCGGCGTGCTGGCTGACTGCCAGGTACTGTCCCCGTCATTAGGGCGCCGCGGGGCAGTGCCGCCGAGCTTGTAGCGCGCAAGCTGGAGGGGAGCCTGCGCGAGCAGCTGTCGACGGCGCGCGGGCCGAACAGTCTGTTCCCGACCGCGGCGTCCGGCGCGTGGAGCAGCGCGCGGCCTGTGCTCATCGTGCTGGACCGCAATGTGGACCTCGTGCCGATGATCTCCCATTCATGGACGTACCAGGCGCTCGTGTACGATGTCCTGGACACGAAGCTGAACCGCGTCACCGTCACGGAGGCGGACAAGCCCGGGAGCGGGAAGAAGTCGTACGACCTCGACGCGAAGGACTATTTCTGGGCGAAGAACGCGGAGCTGCCTTTCCCGCAGGTCGCAGAAGACATCGACACGGAGCTGAATGGGTACCGTGCGGAAGCGAACGACATCATGCGGTCTACCGGCATCAGCAGCATGGACGAGGTCGGTCAGCTGGATGCGTCGTCGAACGCATCGCATCTGAAGGCCGCCGTCACAGCGCTCCCAAAGCTCACCGCGCGCAAGCAGACGATTGACGCGCACATGAACATTGCGACCGCACTCCTGCAGGGGATTAAGACACGCGGCCTCGACGAGCTGTACCAGCTGGAGGAGGGCATTGCGCGGCAGCCCAAGTCCGCGATTCTCGACGCGCTGCGGAGCCCGGTTATCGCGCAGCCGGAAGACAAGCTGCGCCTGTTTCTCGTGTACTACTTGTCGATGCCGAGCCAGGCACTGCCGCGCAAGGACACGGACGAGTTTGAGGGCCTGCTGCAGAGCGTTGGCGTGGACCTTGCCGCACTTGTGTACGCGAAGAAGTGCGTGTCGCGCCCGCGGCGCTGACGCCCAGAGTCCGCGAGCTTTCGCGCTTCTCCCTCGCAGCGTCGGCGCCGACGCCAGCGCCTGGCAGCGGCGGCGAGCTGCTGAAGGGGTTCAGCTCCCTTGGTAGCCGTGTACGTTGCGGGCGCCGCGCGTGCACCACTCACCCGGCAGCTCACCGACACGCTCAAGGACAGCCGTCTCGAGAACCTTGTGGCGGGCGTGAAAAACTTCCTCCCCGCGCAGAAAGACTACACGGTGACGCGTCTTGTCGCGTCGATTATGGACCCGGCATCCGCGAACACGCAGGCGGTCCAGGAGACGGACGACTATTTGTACATTGATCCGCGGCAGCCGCGCGGACGTGGCGCGGGACTCGCAGGCGGCGCCAAGACGCGGCAGCCGTTCTCCAACGCGATCGTCTTCGTTGTCGGGGGCGGGGGCCATGTCGAGTATGGGAACCTGCAGGAGTACGCTGCGCGCTCCTCCGTGGTGGGTGGTGCGAAACAGATTACGTACGGCAGCACCGAGATCCTCACCGCGCCCGCGTTCCTCCACGCCCTGGCCGCCCTCGGTGGCATGTAGGTTTTTGCTTAGGCAGCCGCGAAATTGGGCCCATTTCTCCACATTCCACCTCCACGCCGCAGTGTACCCCTGATGGCCGACGCGAAGCCGAGTGTGTTGTTCTGCTGTCTAGGCAACATCTGCCGCAGCCCTATGGCGGAGGCCGTGTTCAGGGACCATGTGACGCGCCAGGGACTCCGCGATCAGTTCGGCATCATCGACAGCTGCGGCACGGCGGATTTTCACGATGGGGAGGAGCCTGATCTCCGGTGCGTTGCCCGCGCCCTTCCCCCTGCGCAGTCTCCGTAGTCCGACTCACTTCCCAGCACGACGCGGATGTGCGAGGCGAACAACATCCCCATCAGCTGCCTTGCGCGCGGCGTCACCCCCACGGACTTCCACAGCTTCGACTACATTTTTGGCATGGAGTAGGTGCTGGTGCGCATGATCGCTGACACGCGTGCAGCACGAACAACGTGAACAACCTGAAGCGGATGCAGCCGAGGGGGTCTAAGGCGAAGTACGTGGCGATGCGTGGCCGCACTGACGATCGTCCAGGGTGATGCTTTTTTCCGCATTGTGTGTGTCGCTCCCGTGCGCAGCTGATGTGCGGCAGCGACGACAAAGCTTCCATCTACGATCCCTACTACGTGGGTGCCCATGCATGTCGCGCACTCACGGCACCAGCTTGGAGACGGCGCGTTCGGCACCGTGTTCGACCAGTGCCTGCAGTGGGTATCTCCCCTCACTCCCCACCCTCGCACAAACGGGGGACTTGCGCCGCCGCGCAGCGGCATGCACGACCCCTGCTGCGCCTGCCCCCCGTGCGCCATGCCCCTAACCACCAGCTACTCGAAGTCGTTCCTGCAGGCGCTAAATATGAAGCCGGCGCAACTGTAGCCAGCGCCACGTGGCCCGCCTGCAAGGCGGAAAGAACCTTCCATAGTGGTCCTCCGCGCGGCCACCGCCAGGCCAGGTTTTTTTTTGCGGACACATCGCGTGCCACCGGAGAGCTGTTTCTGCATCCATGTCTGCTGCGATCCTTGGACAACACAGTGCCAGTGGCATTGGTGTGGCATCGAGCAGTGCGGGCGTGCTCTCGCGCGCATCGTCGCGGGCACACACGACCGTGGCGGCGACGCGCGCGGGAACGATGGCCGCGTCGCCACGGCGCACACCTGTGCGCTTGGGTGGCGCGTGGGGCCGCGTCTCCCCGAAAGCAATGGCATGCGCTGAGATGCGCACCATGCGCCACTTCAGTGCAAGCCGCGCGCACCGCGCGGCGCCCAAGGACCCGTACGAGACGCTTGGTGTGAAGCGCGATGCGGTGGCGAAGGACATTAAGAACGCATACTACCAGGTGGGCGGACAACCCGGCGTAGGACTGACAGTGCAAGCTCGCGAAAAAATGGCATCCGGACACGAACAAGAACGAGGATGCCAAGGAGCGGTTTGTGGAAATCCAGAATGCATACGATATCCTGAGCGACGAAAAGAAGCGCGCGCAATTTGACCAGTTTGGCACAGCCGACGAGTCGGCGGGCTTCAACCCGTTTGGCGGCGGCGGCGCCGGCCCCGGCGCGTCGCCGTTCGGAGGGTTTGGTGGCTTCGGCGCGTTTGCGGGAGGGGGCGGGGGCAGTGCCGAGTCCATCTTTGAGTCCCTCTTTGGCGGCGCGTTCGGCGGCGGCGGCGGCGGCGGCGGCGGCGCACGCTCAGGATTCCGTGCGGAGACGCGCGGGGAGGACATCGACACGTCTGTGAACATCTCGTTCGAGGAGGCGTGCAAGGGCACGACGCGCATGGTGACAGTGAACGCGATCGAGCGCTGCGGGACCTGCACGGGGAGCGGTCTGAAGCAGGACGCGAAACGCACGCCGTGTGAGGTGTGCAACGGCACGGGGACGCGTACGTTTGTGATCCAGGGCGGCTTCCAAATGGCAAGTACGTGTCCCGCGTGCAGCGGGACCGGCTCGACGGTGTCACCGGGCGACGAGTGCGACCCATGCGCGGGCGCCGGGCGTGTCCGCACGAAGCGCACGGTGAAGATTAACATCCCCGCGGGTGTGGACGATGGCTTCCGCATGCGCCAGGACGGTTCCGGTGATGTGCCGCTTATGGGCGGCGGCCAGCCCGGCGCGCTCTTTGTCCGCATCAACGTGACGCCCAGTCGCGTCTGGCGGCGCCAGGGCGTCAACCTCTTCTACCCTGCCCACGTTCCCTTTTACACGGCGGTGCTGGGCGGCCGCGTACGCGTACCGACGCTGGATGGCGCCGTTGACGTGCGCGTGCCGTCCGGCACGCAGCCGGGCGAGGAGATGGTGCTCCATGGGCGCGGTGTCCCTCGCCTCGGTGCGCGTCGCGGTCAGGAGCGCAACGGCGATTTGATGGTCCAATTCGAAGTGACTATCCCTCGGTATGTTTCCCGCGTTTTCCCTCCTGACTGTAGTTCCTTGTCGAAGAAGCAAAAGGAGCTTCTCCAGGAGTTTGTTGACGCATACGAAGGGAACGAGAAGCCAAGCACGGCGGACAGCGCGGCGGATGGGGGCGACACAAAGGACACGGATGGGGACAAGAAAGATACCAAGTTCGACGAGTAAGGCTCGGAGCGGTGCGTGTGCGCGCTTTTGAGATGCACGGGTGGTGGCATTGCGCACACGTGTGGCTCCGCGGCGGTGCCGTGCTGCGTCTTCTTCGTCTGCTCTCGTATTTTCCCGCCGGTCGACAGTGAGGCTTCTGGCTGGCCGTGAGGTACTATATAGAGATACGTGACCGACGTGCCTGCAAGGCCGGGGGGGAAGGGGGGAGAGGGGGTGAGCAGGAGTCTGGGAGGTGGGCTGCAGGGTGGATTTGGTCGCACACAGGCGCTGCAAGGCAACTGCGGTGCCGCGTCAATGAGCGGCGACGGCACGATGTGCAAGATCTCCAAGTCGTTGCCATCAAGTAAGCACGCATCTCCGGTGCATGTAACGGAAGCGCCAATGGTTTAGTGGTAAAATACAGCTTTGCCATCTACAAAGATGTAGCTGTGCCGGGGGTTCGATTCCCCCTTGGCGCATATTTTTTTCCGCATTTGGCTCCCTGGGAACTCAGCTCAGCTGGTGCCTTTTTCCTCTCCAGTTGGAGTGCCGGGGGGGCGTCGTGCTGTGTGTCCTGCTACGGGCTATGTGGAGGGGTCCTCGATTCCCGCCACGGCTCCGGACGCGGACTCCACCGTCTGCTGATCAACCCCGCTGCTGCCACCCTGCGCCGGGCTCCCCGCGGCATCCCCCATCCGTCGCGCCTGCGGATTGGAGGAGAACTGCCGCTGCCCCTCAGGATCGGAGAGATCCGAGTCAAAAAGGCGGTACGAGAGCGCACTGCTGGTCAGCAATACCACGGCTTCCCCATACCTCTTCTCCTGCTTGTCCAGCATCAGATTCACCGATGCGACGGAGCGCCAGATTGGGTAGTACAGTGGTACGTTGAGTGTGTGTCCATCGTATTCGCTCGGCTGGATCTGCAGCACATAGCTGCCCATCGGCGAGTCACGCAGGCGCGCCCCAACCGCGTCCGGGACGGAGTCAAGCACCGGGTAGTACTCTTTAATGAAGAACGCGAGGTTTGCCAGCGTCACGTCGATGACGACTTTGTCGCCGAGGTACGGACGCATTGTGTGCAGCGAGTCCGAGACAACACGCCAGCGACAGGCTAGCACCGCAGGCCCATTGCTGCGCCGGGCCAGGCCGTCGTCCGTGCTGTTATCCTCGGCTTCGCGCGCCTTCGTCGCCTTGCTCACAGACTCCTGCCGGGCGAATACCTTGACGCCGCAGTTCAACAGACGGAGGCGAATCGGGTTCAGGGTCGGATGCACCCCCGCACCGGCCCCCCCCCCCGACACAATCGCGCGCACAGAGCCCGACGTCGCGTATATACTGCGCAGCGGCACCTGCTCCGCGTTGCGCACGAGGAAGTTACCGACCGGGAAGCTGCTCGCCAGGCCGAACCATTCGATGCACGACCGGATCTCCGGGTTCGAAGGCGCGACGTATGCGAACGGGTCCTCGCGGTACGGCATCCCGCCGGCGCCAATCACCACGTTTTCCTCCTTCGTGCGTCGCCTCGCCTGCGCGATCTCGCGGTCTGTCACGTGCTTGTCACTGGGGACCGGCGACTCGGCGGTTGCGGGCCTGGCTGCGATCTCGGCTGCCGTCTCAGATGCGACCGCGCCGTCGCGCTGGTCTGCCGGTCCACCTGCTGCTGAGGTGGCCTCCATGGACTCCCCGGTCTCCGCGGCCTCCTCATCTGCCGCCGCTGCCGCGCTCTCCGCACCCTCCTCCCGCTTCGCGCGCTTTGCGGGCGCCGCGTCACTCGTCTCCTCGGCATCCCGCTTCATGGAAAGCGGCACCTCCCCTGCATCCATAGCCGCAATTGCCCGCGCCATGCCCTCCGCCATGCCCTCGGACTCCTCCGGCGCGGCCTCGCGCTTCACGAGGCATGCAACGAAGAACCCTCCGGTGTTCTGCATATGCGGATACACGCGGACGCAGCGCCCGAGGTGGAGATTTTTTTCGTCGCCCTGCGGCCACAGGCTCCGTGGGAGTCGCGCCGCGAGGTCCGCGTCGAGAGACTGGAGCGCGTCCCACGACTCGACCCAGGGGATGCGGGGAAGAGGCGTCGGCGATGGGGCCGTCGCCGCATCCGCGTCACCCGACGCGGCATTGCCCTCGTCTTGGGGCGCCGCAGCGCCGCTGTCGGGTTCCGACGCGACGGCGGCGGCGGCGGCCGCATCCTGGCCGTCTGGCTGCGCCGCCTGCGGCGCGTCAGCACCGAAGAGATGCGCGCCGCGGCCCGGGGCGACCCTCCACTCCGTCATGCCCGTGCGGCGAACAAGCGCCGGGAGCATGTCCGAGCAGTCGACGAGCTCGACATCGCCCTTGTGGTGCCGCAGCGCCGCGGCGATGACCGCCTCGTTCTCAATGGGGTTCAGAGAGCACGTCGAATACACGAGACGGCCGCCGGGCCGCAGGAGCGCGAGCCCACGGAGGAGGATGCGTGTTTGCAGGCTGCGGTGAGCGCCGCGCACGTCGTAACGCACGAGTGGAGACCGACGCCGTTGCCTGCGGTCCAGTCCTTCCAGATGGCAATGTTTTTGCGGAGCGTGCCGTCACCGGAGCAGGGGACGTCCACGAGGATGCGGTCGTACTTGAGCTCGCGCTGGCGGAGCTTGTCCGTGGGCTGGGGCCCCTTCCACGCGACGTTCACGTTCGGCAAGTTGCTTGCATCCAGGTTCGTCACGCACAGGTTGGGCGACGGAAGGCGCTGCGCCTGATGCACGAGCATGTGGGCGCGCTTCGTGTCGGCATCGTTCGCGACAACAGCACCGAGCGGCATGGGGATGAACGCGTCCGGCTCGGAGGTGAGCGGGGAATGGATCGCCTCAATCAGCTGCGCGGTCTTCGAACCGGGCGCCGCGCACATGTCGAGCACGAGGTGTTCTGGCTGGACGTCGAGAAAGAGCGGCGGCAGCATGGACACGGCCTCCTGCCGGGAGATGGCGCCGACATCCGTTTCGTGCACGAGGAACTGCTGGAACCGCTTGAACTCGGGAGACTTGCGCAGCACGTTCTTGCGCACATCCAGGTGCCACCCCAGTCCCTCCGGATACCAGGGCAGCTGTCGCGGCGGCGCCACGCGCTCGCCCTCGAACTCGACGTTGCTCAGGAACGGGAGGTAGATGGACTGCATCGCGTCCATCAGCTGCTTCGACGTGGCCTTCCCGGACGTAATGCGGAACGTCGTCGGCAGCGGCGTGCGCAGCGACGCCATAAATGCATCCCACTCGTCCGGGGGCAGGATGCCCTGTCCGATGTAGTATGCCTCGCTGCCCAGTCAGCGTGTGCCCGCGCGTGCACGTACAACTTCGCGTTCTTCTGGTCGATGGTCGTGTAATCTCCTTGGCGTGCACCTCCCGAGCCGCGGGATCCGCGGCCGCGGCCGCCGCGCCCGCGCTTGAACGACCTTCCTCTTGCCATGGTGGGTGAATGGCCCCTACGGCGCTCCAGTCCGCGCGTCATTTTTTTCGCCGCACGTGATGCGCACTCGACACGCGCGTACGCGCCATGCATCCGTCGCCCCACAGCACCCGTCGCGCACGGCGGACTGCATACCGAACGGCCCGAGCATGATCCGACGCCCACCAACTGCGCTGGGTTTGACGAAGCAGGACATCGAGGAGATGCGCGATGTGGACGCGGACGCCGCGGCGCGGGGACAGGGTGATCTGCGCGGGGGCGGGGATGCGGCGCAAGGGACGCGCAGCGAGCGCGGCGCGAGCGCAGGCTGTGAGGGCGGAGGGGCTGCAGAACCCATGGCTTCCAGCAGTGACGGGATGCGCGGCGGCGCGTGCTAGCGCGTTGCGCATGCCCCACGGCCACACTACGACGGCGCCCGACGCCTCGCCACCCTGGGAAGGCGCCGCGCCGGTGGCGTGTGCCCGGAGCTGCTGCATACACCCCGTAGGCCGGGTTTGCGTGCCGCTGACAGGCCGCGGGCGGCTGTCCCAGCGCGCGTGCCGGTGTGGCAGATACACAGACCTAGTGGGCGCGGGCAGCGCAGCGCTCTGTGCGCCGCACGACGGATGCCGCGGACACGGAGGGTGGGGCCTACGGGGTGAGGTAGCGTGGCGCAGCGTGCACGTTGAGGCTGTCAACCCCGTCCTTGCATCACCACGGAGAACGGCGCGGGCGAAGCTCGTGCGGAACGTAGTGCCATGGATACCTCGGTGAAGAGCCACCAGCTGCGTCCGTATCACAAGGAGCGGGATGACCTGGCGTTCATTGCGGCCACACCGATGTACGCGAATGCGGGTGCGGGTGCGGGCGCGAGTGGCAACGCGGATGGGGCGTCGCCGTTCGCGGTGCACACGGGGCCGACGAACCGGTACCTGCGCGCAGACACGGATGCAGCGCTGGACATGTCGTCGGAGCGCATGACGCCCGGTGCGTACGTGCAGAGCCTGGTGGTGGGCGGCATCCTGCAGTACGCCAGCACCTGTCTTGCGAATCCGTTCGAGATCGGCAAGATCCTGCTGCAGGTGCAGTGGACCCCGCGCGAGAGCGTCTGGATGCGCATGACTGCGCCGCGCGTTGCGGAGCGCACGCACAGTGCACCGGCGACCGTGATGTCAGAGCTGGACGAGGATCCGTGGGGCGACGCGGCGGACGACGCGCGCAACGACGAGTGGGCGGACGACGACGAGGCGGACGAGGACGAACCGGACCGCTACTTCCGCGAACTCGGTGAGCCGCCCGCGGAGCGCGCGAAGGAGGGGGCGGTGCGCGACGTGGATGCGCATGGCTACGTCGTGCCCGCGAGCCAGCACGACGACGACGCGCGCCCGGAGTATATGATGCCGGTCGTCGTGCGCGGCGGCGTGTGGGAGATGATGAAAGCGGTCGTGCGGGGGCCGGAGGGGTGGCTGGGGCTCTGGAAGGGTGCGTTTGCCGCGCACACGCGCCGCTTACCGCAGGCACGCTCACCACGTTCCTGCTGGATCTGTCCACGTCGACGCTGCAGCCGATTGTGTCGGGTATCATGTCCGTTCTTGCACCGTGGGCGATGACCGCGATGCCGATCGCATTTTCGCCGTACCCCGTCACGACGCTCTCGCTGCTGCTTACCTCGCACCTCATTACGGGCGTCGCCGTTTCCCCCCTGGACCTCGTGCGGACGCGCCTCGTCGTGCAGTCGACGTCGCCGAAGCACCGCCGGTACGGCGGCCCTCTGGACGCGCTGCGCAAGCTCACCCGCGAGGGCGGCGGCCTGCGCGCGCTGTACCTGACGCCGAATCTCCTGGTGCCCACGCTACTCGACTACACGTTCCGGCCGCTGATGGCGCTCGGCGCGCCGCTGCTTATCGAGAACGTGCTCCATCTGGACCCGTCGTCGGTCCCCATCTCGTATGCGGTCGCCGAGCTCGTGCTGTCCACGCTCTCGCTCATCGTCACGCTCCCGATCGAGACCGTGCGCCGCCGCCTGCAGCTGCAGTACAACGCGCCGCTGCGCGCGGCCACGCAG